TCTGCAACTGTACACAATCCAGGCCCTCGGCTGTGATTCAATCTGGACGACTGAAGGGAAGGGACCGGAGCCCAGACTGCTTCGTCAAATGCTACTTAAGAGCTGGTCTCCGGGGGTTCGACATTCAGTCTGGCTATGCTGCTTGGACGCTGGCTTGACTTCGACTAGACGCTGGCGAGACGCTGGCTGGACGCCGGCACTGTGGGCGACGACGACAGCATGTTGGCGCTTTCTGCATTGTGCGCCAGGCATGCTGATGTGGCGCTGCCTCTGGTCTACATTGCATGCTGATATGGCGCTGCCTCTGGTCTACATTGCATGCTGATGTGGCCCCTCTCAGCCATGTGCTTAGTTGACTCTCATACACTGCCTCTGATATATCTGAGTTTCTGTCCATGATGGTTTTCTGCTGACTGGGAACAGTGGAACACATAACTCTGTACTATCTGCATCCTGTTTGGGTTCCTCTCTTCCTTTCAGCCTCTGTAGGCAAATTCCCTACCATGTACAGCCGTACCCGCGCCGCCACCGCGCTTCCGGCTTGTATAAATAGATAAAAAAGTGGAGTTTAATAAACCCAATATCAACCCCTCTGCCGACTTGTACAATGCTGCAAAGCAAAGTCTCAAATTGCATTTACCTATCTTGTGAAGAGTCTAAGAGCAACCAAGAGGGGCGGAGGAGGAGAGGAAGGAGGGTTGGAATCCTTTTACCTATCTTGACAAGAGTCTGAGGAGAAGGAAGAGGAGGGGAGGAGGCGGCGAAGGAGGGGGAGGGAGGGGGAGGGAGGGGGAGGGAGGGGAAGGAGGGTTGGGATGCATTCACCCATCTTGAGAAGAGGCTGAGGAGAAGGAAGAGGAGACGAGGAGGAGGAGGAAGAGGAGGAGGAGGAGGAAGAGGGGAAAGGAGGGTTGGGATGGGGAATGGGCAAAATGACATACCCGTAAGAATGATGTCTCCTTCTTCTAATGTCATGATTTTGCTGATGTAGTTTATCAAGAATGGTATGTCGAAGATCATATCCTTCGTGTTTCCTTTCTGCTTCAGCGTATCATCAACCTGATGATTCACGACGAATTACAAAAAAAACACCCATCAGCCAATCTCCACAGTTGTTATTTTACCCCCATGAACCAACTGTTAAACCACCAGTGCGCAATTTGCCAATTTTCTTCCGAGTCTTCTCACACATTTCTACACACAGCGGCGACAAATTGCCGACAACACATGATTTTCTTTTTTTGGGGGGGGCCTACCGGACTGCTTTGGCTGGTCTCACTGGCCAAAAAGAAGGGGAAAAAATGTGCGCTGTGCCGATTCGTTTTTTTTTTTTTTTCAGCACAAATCTGGACTGGGAAAGAGAGGCTCAGAGGTACTGGTGGTTTAACGAAACCAAGAGTGAAAGAGATCTGCAATTTTGCCCCAAACACATTGTCAACTAGCTTTCCACTCCGGGCGCACGGGGTACCCCACCATGCCCGGAATGGCGCCCGGGGCGTCCGGCCGGGCGACCCCCCCGAGCAGGCACCCGCGCGCCTCTCGCACCAAGGCAGAAAAACTTTGAAAAAGCCAATTTTTTATTTTTTTTTGCCGCCGCCCTATTCCAAACGTGCCAACTTTGTCTTTGGCAGTCGGCGCATTTTTGGGGGGGGTCCGGTAGGCCCCGTTTTGTAGGTTTTTAATTTTTGGGGGGATTCTGGCCGTCGATCTGCATAGATCGACGGTGCGCGCTGATACAGGATTCAAATTCGTCCCCTCCTGCACCCCCTCCCCCCCCACAACCCACAGAAATCAACATGCATGAAAATAAAAAAAAAGATCGGCCGGGCGCCCCGGGAAAGCTAGATTGTCAATGCAGTGACGCTTACGATGACTGTGTCGGACCGGAAAACACGCTTGTATACATTCATTATCCGAGTGTGTTGTGTGTGTTCGGTCGAAGATGGTACTTCCATGCAGACAAGTGTTTCCTGTGATGGCAAAGTTTTGAAAATGGCAAACAAAATTTAACAAATTGTTTTTTCTATGATTGCAAGGGTCGTGTCGGCTTCTCTATCCTCATTGCAGAGCATATCAGTCAAACAATCAAAAGTTGAAAACGTTTTCAATTTTCATGTCAATGTCTTGCCTCACAAAAAGTTTGAAAACGTTTCGTGACACATGCTTATCGTTAAGCAGCGTTTAAGGACCAGCACATCCGTGTTCCTCTTTTGTACGAGGCGGATTCCCACTGAGTGCTAAGCTTTGCCAAAATGCCAGTACATCGTTTTTCGTTTTAGTTTTGGCTGGTGCCGCCAGCCATTTTGGTCCCATTGCCCTGAGCCTCGGATGATTTCGGAGAGGCCCAATCGCAATTCTTTGGCTGGGGCCATTTACTGGTGGTTTGAGTTATTATTATAATTAATATAATATTATGGGCATATGATGCCATATATCCTTCTTACGTCGACTGATTTTTTTTTGTTTTTGTCATCCTCATGCACAGGTGATACGGACTCATACGTCTATACCATACTTGCAAGCGGACGCCGTCCGGGCGGTTCCGTACGTGCGGCAGACCGCCAGACCGGACCCGTGCGGCGCATGAATGTGCGCCCGACGACCAGTTACGCCCCACCCCACCCCCCAAAAAAAAAAAAACGCCCCTGTCCGGTCCAGTCCGGGTCCATCCGGTCCGGGGGGAGGGTGCTGCACGCGGCAAAGCGGACCGGACCGGACGCTCGTCCGGTCCGTCTGCTTGCAAGTATGGTCTATACCACTGCTCTGCTCAGGCCAGCTCTCTCTCTCTCTCTCTCTCTCTCTCTCTCTCTCTCTCTCTCTCTCTCTCTCTCTCTCTCTCTCTCTCTCTCTCATATGTCTATACCACTGCACTGCTCAGTCGACGTAATTTCCTCTGCTCTTGTAATTATATGACCTCTTGAGTGAATGGTCCCAACCACTGAGAATTATAAATCAAATCTCAGGACAGTTCAAAAAAGACTCCACAAAAACGTTTTTAGAATTATAACCAGAAAATTTAGACAAGAACGAACACCAAAGCAGTTGGGAATTAAAAAATTGAAACTTGAAAATCGATCGCGTGCACATCTCCAAAAACAAGAAAAGAAATCACTGCAATTGTCCAAACACAAAGCGCGCTTTACGTGCACAGTATACACCCAAGTAAGAGAGAGAGAGAGAGAGAGAGAGAGAGAGAGAGAGAGAGAGAGAGAGCAGGGGCAGGGGCAGGGGTGGAAGGAAGAGATTTAATCCTTGATGGCACTGGTACATCAAGCCTTTAAAGACAAAAAGGTTGCTGCCGTGACTAGATAATGTGGGTATAAATTATAGGAGTTGCATGTGTAAGTACTAATTCAATTGCCACCCTAGCATGATAAATATTAGATATCCAAATTGAGGGAGCAATGAAACATAGAAACACCCTTTTGCAATCACAGAAGGCATGAGCACTACTACCAGTAAGTGGTTGGAACTAGCGAGGAAGCTTACAGGAAGGGCTAGTGAACTTTCGGAAGGGTATACCGTTGCGCCTGGATGGTACAAGATGCTACACAGCAAGGAGGGTTACTCCGTAGCGTAGGCACCTGAAGAAGACCGACAATGACCACAACGACGACGACGACGACGACTACAACCACGACGACGACGACAACAACAACCACGATGACGACGACGACGACGGCGAAGAAGAAGAAGAAGAAGAAAGAAGGGGGAAGGAAGAGGCGAGGGAGGAGGAGGAGTTGAGATGGTGTTCAATTTGGAAGTGAGGGGCGATACACCAGGTTAAAAAAAAAAATGTTAAAGAAAAAAGTTGCAAAAAGACAAAAGAAGATAACCGTAATTGTGAATTTTCAACTCTACGCCGAGTCTCCGGCTTAACGTTGTTACCTTTTCTGAGGAGAGGGAGGGGCGAGGGAGGGGCGCAGGAGAGGGGCGCAGGATAATTTCTTTTCTTTCTCACCTTACACCAGAGTTCAAGATCGTTTGGTGATGGAACTTTCTTTTTGGGAAGCTGCACCACGACACCAAATTGCCAAATTGCCAAATTGCCACACACAATTCCATCATATTGGCAGCAGCACCGACCCTGATCAGCATTGGGCTCGTTATTCTTAAGTGTTAGAACTTCAAATTTATTTCTCTAGTTTTCGAACGACTTCATTAAAGTTCATTTGTTTTATATTACGCTGATAACCGTCAATGAGTTTCGTTAACTTTGAAAGAGTTTTGTTAACTTAACTTTGAACGAGTTTGGTGAGTTAACTTTGAATAAGTTTTGTTAACTTAACTACTTTGAATAAGTTTTGTTAACTTAACTGTGAACGAGTTTTGTTAACTAAACTCATTCAAAGTTAACTTTGAATAACTTTGAATGAGTTTAGCTAACTTTGCGTGAGTTTAGTTAACTTTGAAAGGGTTTTGTAAACTTAACTTTGAGTGAGTTTTGTTAACTTCACTTTGAAGTTTGAATGAGTTTTGTTAACTTGGAACGATCCATGGATTTATAGAAAATCCATGTTTTAGGTGTTTCAAAATACGTGACTTTCACAAAACGTATATGATAAAAGCAACTACTAATAATGCTGGTTACTACTCCTACCCTCTTCCCCCGAACATAACGCACCCTAAAAATGAATGTATACAAGCTATATTTCCAACCAGATACAGCCGAAACAAGGGTGCGTTGTGTTCGGGGGAAGACGGTAGTAAGGCTAATAAATAAGCTCCGCAACCTAGAGCTAGAGCAGCAGAACAGAGAGAAAAAAAATGCTGGAAAATCCTGCTAACGGAGGTATTCCTTTTGTTAGTCGATGAGTTTTGTTAACTCTGAATGAGTTTTTTTGATAAGCGATGTAAATTTGAAATCAACAACCGATGTTAACCGATGCATATGGAGTTGCTGTTTCTCTTGCTGATTTTTGTACATGCATCCTCCTCGCCCAAAAGAAGCTGTACTAACCGCTAAGATTCAGCAACAATCTTCCTTTCCTGTTGTACTAAATCGCTAAGATCTGCAACTGGGGCACCCTAGGGCCTATAGCAACCGAGACCTACAGTTTCACATGGGCACAAAAGAAGGCATCTTCCGAGGACTGTTTTTTCGAAGTTTTTCCTTTGTATTATGTAGCGTTCAGGGAGTTATATAATAGCCAGCCCTTGTATGCATACTTCCCCCTACCATCATCACCTCAAAAAAATAGAAAGCCCGGTCATGATCGCTGCATCTGGACAGAAGGTTGCCCTAAATACAGCTATAATGACCAGGCGTTCTATTCGGGTGAACACGGTAGCTACCTATCCCTCTTGTTCCTAACTCGTTAAAAAAAAAAAAAAAAAAAAAAAAAAGAGCACCGATCCATCATCCTGCTGAGACTATTGAGAGTGAAAGCAACCTTAAAAAAAAAAAAAAAAGACAGACAGACAGACAGAGAGAGAGTGAAGGCAACTTTAATGTGTGTTGTAGAGCAGAGTCCTGCTTCTTGTCTTCTTGTTGTTAATAAAGCGGCGATCTCCAAAGAATGCTTTCGTCTACCATCTGGATAACCAAATGGGCGATGATTACAGAGGGCGACCGTCATATGTCTAGCATCCAACCTCTACAACAACATGTACCTTTTTTTTTCAATTAAATAAAAAAAAAGTATGGATTCCTCTCTCTTGTTGCTCTGGGAGAAGACAGCACCTTTTCTTGCTTCTTGCTCAAAAGACTGTCAGTATTTGTTACTTCCTTAAAACTTTTAAAAGGAATATATAAACTTTCAAAAAAGGTTGCAAAAAGCTACCGTCTTCACCCAAATAGAACGCCCGGTCATTATCTCTGCATCTGGACCGAAAGTTGTGCCAAATACAGCTATAATGACCGGGCGTCCTATTCGGGGGAAAGACAGTAGTACATGCAAAAATGAAAGAACACCTATGAAAATAGTAGGTAGCAGTATGAACAATCAAAATTTCAAATCACTTAAAACTTAAAACTTAAAATCCACTCAAGCTTTACAGGCTTACACATCATTTCTCCGAAATTTCGACATCCTAAGTGAATCTGATCAACAAATTGACACAGGTGCACCGTATTCTCATATGCAGCCTTGTGCTGTATGAAATTCTGCAAAAGAGGGGAATACTGTTGAACTTTTATAGTGCTACAACACTGCTACACAAAAAGAAAAAACTTCAAAAAAGTACTCCAATACATAAAAGTTGATAAAACTGTCCGTAACGGGCAGCCACTGAACAAGCCCACAATTTATTTATATGTCCCTCAACTGGCCATGCGAGTGACTCAGAAGCGTCTTAACTTCTCTTAAGAAAGAAAGAGAGAGGTGATCTGCACAAGAGACAAAGGGAAGGGAGAGTTCGGCGGAGGGGAAAGGAGGTAGGAAGGGCCGGGCCCCGGGGGGGAGGGGGTGGGGGGGGTGCATGACGAAGCTGTGCTTACGAAATCGCTGATTGGAGTGAACGTATCGTATCCCTTGGCAACGGTCCACGGAAGGCCCTTCGCCTGTTGTCACACCACAAGCCATCCACAGGACCAGAAAAAAAGGAGTCTCTGGGCATCATGCCATGCATAAAATTTGGTAGGGGTCATCCACAGGCCCAAAAACAAAGTCCCCGGGCATCACGCCACGCGCACAAGTTGGTTGGGGTGTCCCCATCTAACCCAATACCCAATTTCCAGGCCGGAGGGCTAACCTCGCATCAACAGAGCCCAACCCTGGTAAGTTGTAGCCATATAGCAAGATCACATCTTGCATGCATGACGATTTGACAACCCTAAAAAAAACACAAATGACCCTCTCTGAGCAGCCTACTGCCATACTGGTACCAGACAAGGCAACCAAGGGGTATCAAGAAAATCACACAGAAATGGAAACAACGAAAGGTCAGGTGAGCTTTAAAGTTTAAAACACAGCCACTCGAACATAATCAAGACTGTGGGAGGGAGGGAGGGAGAGAGGGAAGTCATTGCCCCTCAACAATACACTCTCATTTTTTTCAACCACATGGAAACAAAACACCTGCAATAGGGAAAAAGAAAAACAAAACAAGCTAAGAAGAAGAAACGAATCATTCAAGCGATTTCTAAACCTCACAATCTCGAACTATGGAGAGAGAGAGAGAGAGAGAGAGAGAGAGAGAGAGAGAGAGAGAGAGAGAGAGAGAGAGAGAGAGAGAAGTTGATTAGGAAAGAGAAACAGAGGCAGACAATAAGTGAGATGAAGGGGAAAGCTGACAGGCAGAGACATGTTACGGGAGAGGGGAGATGGAAGAGACAGGGGGA